CAGAGAATTGTTTCTACATTACAACAAATGAAAGGGAAGCAGAACCCATAAAACCACCAAAAAGAAAGAAATGAACTTTCCTCCCTACAGTGCAGTCAGCAAGTAGAAGAAACTGACATTTTTAAATGTTTGATTCTGTACTCCAGTGCATTTAAAATTAAACAATGAGGTTAAAAGTCAGACATCCAGCTAAGTGTTGCACCAGATGAAGTGTTATATAAAATCATTTAAAATGTTTGAGAAGGCAAAAATGTTAACAAAATGAGCATACACAAAGAATTGAGTGTACAGCCACGCTAGGGGTTTGTGAGGCTCTAAGTGTGTGCAGCTGTGCTTTAAGCCAAAAGGTCTAACATGCTCACAGAGGCTATGCTAGCATGCAGTACCATTTACCAGATTCTCACTCTTAGTTCAGCATGTCAGCAATTTAACATTTGCTAATTAGCACTAACCACAAGGTTCTGCAGAGCTGAAGGTGAAGGCAGTGGATCCTCAAAATAGGACCCAACGAATGAACCGATTCTTGGCTGCACTTCTGGCTCTTCTCCAGGAAGTCAGGAAACTAAAAATGTCAAACCACAGTATAGACGGTGTGAGTAGAATAGGCTTTTGTTCCAAATGAATCCAGGCCTTCTACCACATGTGTGAATCCAATTAGAGGGACCAGAGGAGGTGGCTTTCTCCTGCTGCTACCTGACACATTTATTGAGCCTCGCAGAGAGGCATCCCAGGCTGCACCCTATTAACCCTGAACGCTGCTACTAATCTACATCATGCAAAACGCCAATGAACCTGTCCCAGCAGCTTTGAAAGACAAAACATAATACACAAACAAATGCATGTCTGTTTTTCACTGAGTAGACACTGCTGCAGATGTTTAAATTTAGCACACTTACTCTATACACAGTCAAATGGAACAAACAAGCAAGATGAAGCTCTGTTCCTCCACTGCTGCTAGACATTTCTGTAAAATGTCTCCCCAGCTGACCTCACACACCACAGACTGAATAGCATACCAGTCTTACCAGAGTGCCTTGTTTATGTCCCTTTGCTGCTCTAACTGTGTGAATTTCCCTGTCATGGGACTAATAAAGGTTCATCTTATCCTAAAATCCATTGTAACACTACATTCTCTCATTATGACAGAATCACAGTTGCAGCACTTATTTATAAAATGTCTGAAAATTGGGAACTATTCACAAGTTTGTCAGGCATTAAAAACCGCATGCAAAGCAAAGGCTCAGAGGGGATTCAGGCCATTTGATGTGAAGGCAAGCATTGTGGAATAAAAGTTAATTCACTATGGAGAACCCTCGGTGAGTTAATCTTCAGACACTGACACAATCAATTACTTGAAGCTGTGATTTATACCTTTCACAGCCTTAGTGGAAACCATAAAGTGTAAAGAGCTGGAAACCTGTACTGAAAACTGCTGGCCCATGCTGAGTCAAGGTGTCTTGTTGTAAGCTGAGCTCAGCAGAACCAGTGATCCACTGTCCGACTGATCCAGTTTTAACAACACCTCCTCTTCTTATGTCACCCTGTCTTACCCCTCCCTTGCACCTCTCACTGCAGCACGACCACTTTGCAGCCCATAAACCTCAGAGTGCAGCAACTGGAAAAAAATAAACAAAAACTTGAAATCAGACATGCCTGCACACAAAGCACTCAGTCATTACTGATTTCCATATATAAATTATACACAAAAAGGCTTAAACTGACAGGCAATAACACTTGCAGGCTCCCAGTCAGATTAAACTAAACCTATTAAGATTTTAACTCTGAGCTGTGCTCAGTTGTGGCACTAACCTAGAGAGTTTCTTTGCTAATCTGACTATTTCTATGATATACAAACAGGATTTTCTTTGTTTTTCTATCCTTGTCTCTGAGTGGTTGAAATGGCCACCATTTGTATGGTCCCGAATTGATGGTCAAACATCACATGCACAAAGTGTTTTTTTTTTAATGTCCTCATGAAATCATTGGAGACTGATCAGCCATAACATTATGACCCCGACAGATGACGTGAATAACATTGATTATGTTGTTACAATGGCACCTGTCTGTGTAGGGTACATTAGGCAGCAAGTGAACATTTAGTCCTTGAAGTTGATGTGTTGGAAACAGGAAAAACAGGCAAGTGTAAGGACCCGAGTGCTGCTGGAGCCGGCGTATCTGGGCGGAGGTGAGAGGCCCAGGTGAGTGGAGGCTGCAGGACTGCAGGTGACTGCATCGGCGACGAGGTGCACAGGCAAGTCATAATCAAAGGGGGACAGGTAGCTGAGTGAGAGGTACAGGAGGTAGCCAGGTAGCGGCATGGAGCACAGGTAAGTATAAAAGCACTGGGTGTGACCAAACTCACTGTGAGAGATGAGCAAGACCAGAGGCAGACAGTTGTTAACGACAAGGGAAAGATTAGTGAAGGGACCTGGTGCGTGACTGGTGAATAATCAAACAAGACAAGGTGAACCAAGAGAGTGAACAGCCCAACACTGATTCTGAGGGAAAGGAGGGAGCATATATGGATGAAGGACTGGGGAATGACTAGCAACAGGTGAAACTAATGACTTTGTCTTGGGGAAATAGTATCGCCAATGTTTTAGGACACCAGATGGGGGAGGGAAATGAGCTTCAAAGGGAACTGAGAGTCCTCATCCATTTTTAAAAACCTGTCTCTGCTGGAAAAATGTGATTAACTGTTACATAGCTGTTACACTTAAAGTGAGAAATGTATGTACTTTATGCATTTTAAAGCAGCTTTAAAGGATTAACCAAGATGGCACTGATGAATTCTAGAGTTTAGCTGCATTTGAGAAATGATAGTTTTTCAGAGATGCATGGTCATTAGTAGTGGCTATCAAAGTGTCTATCTGAGGATCCTAACCGGTGCACATCCAAATCTGGCACATAAGTTGAATGAACAATATCCCCTCAGGTGACATAGCTGTAAAAATAAATAACAAGTCAGAGCCTGCTTTAACAGTGTGGACACTAACTCATTAATCATTGACCAGAAGGTTTAATAGCTTGACACGCTGACATTTCTGCAGACATTTCTGCAGGCGGCTGAGCTGAAGATCGCGCATTCTGTTTGTACGGAGACGTCACACTATGCTCTAGAATCCCTTATGTGGTTTGGGAATTCAGAGAGGTTTATAGTTTTTATGAGAAGAGCAGGAGGTTTAGTGTCTGTTACAAAGGCAGTTAAAAAAAATTCATATCAGTGTAATGTAATGAGGGAAAACTGACAGAAAACCAGAGGATGCTGAAAAAATCAGAAGATGAATGATTTACATCCTGATACCCAGCTACTGTATACACATGGCTCACTAATTGCACTGTGCATAGAAATGAGGGGAGAAGAATGATGACTTGGTGTTTGTAGGTTTTAAAACCATTTAGAACAAAAATAGATCATACAATATTTCAGCATAGAAAAGAGCTATACAAGTATAAGACCATTACCATTTGCTTTAACCACAGCTGCCCCAGAAAATAAAGCTGAATCAACACTTAAACATGTATTTAAACGTGTTTGCTCTTACTCAACATATTGTACCCTAATTAATATCAAATTTAGTTATCCACTGTAAACCTTTTATAATGTTTTGTGCTATAGCAACAGCTGGAGTGTAACCACGCTGCCTTATGTGTGAGCATTTGGTAGTGAATCCCTCTGAGACTCAGAATAAAGTCCTCAATGTGAGAATGAGTAAGATGTACATGGGGACATGGGGTGAAATATAAAATCTCACAAGTAATTAGGACCACTGCGCTATGTCCAGATGCTGAAGGTGTTATGTGCCGTTCGCACCTGTCAGTGAGCGAATGAGAAAGAGGCGGACCCAGGTAGCAGACGTCGATGCAAGCAGTGACTTTATTATGTACAGTGATGATGAGAGTAAAAATACACAGAGGGAAATAGTGCGTAGTCCTGTCGATGAGTAGTAGCCAGGTGTTTGACAGGAGGCGAGGAGATGGAGAGCTGGGCCGAGCTGCGTAGGCTGGGTCACTCCTGGGCTTGTCGGTGGTGATGGTGGCTACTGAAGGTAGAGACAGAGAGATGAAGGCAATAGAGGAACAGATAGGCGACTGAGCATTGACACTGCCTGGGAGGGGAGAGTGGAGCCACGGTCCAGAGGAACAGTCCATGGGGAGAACACAAAACAGTAGCTGGCTAGGGGATTAATACATACAAAAAACAAATGAGCACAGAGAAAAAAAATGTCCTAGAGACAAGAACGAACTGGGAAGTGACTGAGGAGTGAAACCGGGTAATATAGTGAGCAACCTAATCAAGTGCAGCTAGTGATAAGGGAGTGAGGAACAGGTGAACGTGATTTGTGTTAATGGGCAAGAGACAGTAGGAAAGGTGAGGGAGGCCAGAGCGGCCGAGCAAACCTGACAGAAGGGGGACGCTGGAACAGCTGGTGTTTAGGGATAACTGCCAAGATAGGCTTTCTAGCTCTCAAATATGTCTGGTCTTCGTCATTACCCCCCTGATTCTGCTTAGAATTAAGATACAGGGGCGCTGTTTTGTGGAATTCAAACCTACACATCATTCATCATTTTTGTTTACTTTTAAAAAAAACATATTACACAAATGCTGGCCACTTTCCAGTTGTTGACTGTTGTAAATTTGGAATAAAAACAATTTCTATTAATATTTACAAAATTATAGAGTCTCCAGCTTTGAAGGTGGGTGAAGAAAAGTGCTGTGTTGAAAAGTCATGTCACTGAAACATCTTATCACTGAAAAGAAAGGAAAGAAACAGAAAGTGCCAAAAAGTGTGACCATGGGATAAACAGAGACAGACAGGGGCATTAATGAAGCTTCAGACTCTGAACTGATATGAAAATACATTTAAATTTGAGTGACTGAGAGATCTGAGGACAGAAATAAGTGGAACACCCAGAGAAACTGATTGTGTAAAAACTGTGTACTGTGTAAAGTACTGTGTACTGCAGCCTCTGCGTGAGAAGCTCGGCTGTGATTGGATTACATGCGCCACCTCTCCCACACTCACCCACGCTGCGCCACTTCTCATTCATCACCCGTGAAACCTTGAAATTACCAGAATTCATCAGCTGTCACATGGATGGATGCTAACAGTTTCTGAGAGCTGTGTGACAATAGAGTAGCACATAAAAAGTAGCGCTGCCCACTGATGGCCTTCACATCCCTGTGGAGATACAGCTATGGGCCGACTGTAGCTGACAGCCGGGTCTTCATGCTAGAGTGAGGTGAGAGAGATATACAATCCCACTTCTGTCAAACTGAGATGTGAAGTAAAGATTTATGACCCGGTGACATCATCTGTCATCTGTACCAAAGCCCTGCCTACTTTTCACACTTTGCTTTTGTCTAGATCACAGGCCGTCAACTTTTATGGCGTGGCGCATAATTAAATTTCAAAAGATTTCACACTTAGATGTTACTTTTCACCATCAGTGGATTTTATTATATGGTTTTATAACAATATTAAAGGATTTTGTTAGGGTTTCCTGTGAGAATAGGACTGACCAACATCCCCATATAATAAAATCCACTGACGTTGAAAAGTAACGCCTGAAAGTCTGTAATTACGCCTCATAAAAGTTGACAGCTTTTGATCTAAACAGAAGCGAGGTGTGGTAAATTAAGCAGGTCTTAGGGCACAGATGACAGACAACATCAGTGAATCATAAATCTTCACTTCACACCTCAGTTTGAGGGAAGTGGGATTCTATATCTCTTTGAAACAAAAAAAAAACCTGATAATGCTGAAAAATAAAATAATTATCTAAATGGAAAGAATCACAGCTGCTAGAAACACAAGCATCTACACCTGCTGTGAAAAAGTGCTACAGCCAGGTGACAATTCTGTGGGTTCATTACCCATAGTCATGCAGCCACTTGTTATAAAATATATATTATAGCAGCTTTATATTATTTATAAAGGCAAAGGTAAATTTATTTGTATAGCACATTTTATACCAAGAGGCGACCCAAGGTGCTTCACAAACAGACATAAGCACAAAAGTAAAAGCACACAGAATGAAATCAATAAAAACAAGCAAACAAAGCAGGAAGAGCAGAAAAAGAGCTCAAATAAATCAGCTAAACTACAGGGTCCTATTATAGGAATAACATTTTTTAAAAAGAACTATGATCAAATATGCATTTAGATCAAATCACATATTGTAAATTAAAGCTAAAAGCAATAGCGAATACGTAGATCTGAAATTTGGACTTGAAAGTAGTCAGTGCTGTCTCAAGCCTACGTTCTTCTGGCAATTTGAGCAGCATGGACTTTCAAGCATCTTCATCATGTTTAGTCTGAACTAAACTGATGCTCAAAGAAAAATAATTTAAATAGAAAAATTATTTATGGATTATAGTCACATAAATGTCCTCAGGCTGCACCAGCAAAGCAGTAACCATGGCAACAATCAGCCTCTGGCCAGCCATCAGTAGTTTAATCAACAGCAAATTAAATGTAAAATTAGAAATATCTTGTCAAGTCTTTCTCGATGTGAGCAGCATCTTATCACTTCTGTGGGGTTCAGTTGAACTTATGAAAAAAAACTGATGAATAGTCAGTGTATTACCAATGTAAAGTTCATGTAAGATTGTACATACCTATACCAATTTAATAGCAATTTAGTCAGTGATTCTCAAGATGTTTTACTTTGGCCTTTGGTGTGTTTACCCCAATGTTCCTACTGCCAACCAGCAGCAACCTACAACACAAAACACTACAAATTCCCAGTCTGCCACTTATTTTCTCCACTGTAACTGTGACTGCCACACAAGAAGGATGTTCATTATGCACTGTAAGTGGAGCACAGCTGATGGCTGGAGAAAGGGGCCGATGGTAGGGCACAAAAGGATGTCATCTGGAGGGTATTTTTAGAGTCTGAGGTACACTGATAACTGACTGCCTTTGCAATCTCCTGCAGGTTCCCAGCAAAAACAAATGCACACATCCTGCAGATTCACTCACAGTGAAATCCTATCATGCAGAGAAACACTAGCAGGCAAACTGACTCTCTCACACTCGTACACACAAACACTTGAACTCATGCAGAAGATTATTGAGATTTCCAGTCAATTTATGTTGCAGCCATCAGTTACATACATGATCTAATATGAAAAAAAAAACACTTTACAGATTAAGTGGGTATGTTATTTCCCTTTGCAAGGTGTCTGGGATCAGGTTACAGTATGCTTCCCCACAGCGGAGTGCAAGATAAATTTGACAGGCCCCAAGATTAAGAGGAAGGCAAAAAAAATTCTTTCACAATGTTATACTTATTTTATTTTCTGCCTTCTTTTTTAATTTTTTGTTAATAAATTCCCGAATACTTTACTGCTTGTGTCTGCATCTGGGGATGTTTGTCAAAGACTTTAAAACATGAACTGGTTATATCTCCCATATAGTTCTGTCTATACTGACACAAATCAGCTTGAATTAAAGCTGAGACTTGGCACTTTGTTGTAGGTATTGTATTTATTATTGTATTTCAATTTGGTGAAGCACAGATATACCTGTCCTAATAGCTACTTTCAAAATTACTTCACGGACAGAGGCGCCACCTGGTGGTAATAAACGTTTGCAATAAATGAAAATAAAAGCAATTTAAACATTTAGTGGTAGGCATTTTATTGAAGAAACGGAAACAAAAAGGTGGTCTGAGCAATGAGGAAGTCTGCCCTTTTACATCATAGACAATTTTTTATTTTAGTACATCTCTGGCTTGAATATTGTTTTTGAAAGACGAACCAAACTTGCTAACTGACTATTTCCATTTTATCTGCATTTTCTAATGATATCATCATGCACGCTTTCACATACTGGTCTCAAGTTACTAAGCATAATGACTGGGATTTTAACGCTCCGCGGAAAACCATTGGAAGAAGAAGAAGAAGAAGAAGAAGAGGTCCCGCAAATAAAAGAAGTAGAAGAAGAAGACGTTCGGGCGCATAGCGGAAGTGCGCGGGTTGTCTCAAACTGATTATATAGATATGGCGCGTTTGCTAGGGAGCATCGTAGGTACCAGTTTTACACGACAACCTAAACATCGCTTATGGATATGCTGTTTATTTCTGGGGATGTGTTTAATGTCGCTGTCGGTTTCGGCGAAGCAGGACAGCCTCAGAGAAGTGACCGACGAGAACTGGGAGGAAATCCTGACTGGAGAATGGATGATTGAATTGTCAGTGTCCTGATGCTAACGGCTAACCTGCTAGCTAGCTTGTCGGTTATTTTGAGCTCGTTTAAAGTGGGGCGTTATTTACCGTGTTCCACCAGGTGTAATCCCAAATTCTACCATATTTGATTATTATATTGTCTGTCTCATTTTTCTCTTGTCAAGTTGATAAAATGTGTAGCTATGCTAACAGCTGCCATCTTACTGTCCTCGGGTTAGGCAAAACCTTACCAGAGTTGAATGCTAGCAAGTTTGCTAAGTAGCAGGCTAATAAAGTACATAAGAGCTAATCAAGTTGCCAGTACATTTAAGCTTGTGCGCAGTGTTTATATATTTATGTTGATGAGTGTGATTGTGCAGTTTATCTGAAGCTTTACTTAATGAAACTTGACATGCCTCAGCTACGCACCGTGGTGTCCAGCATGCCAGCAGCTCCAGCCGGTGTGGAAGGAGTTTGCGGACTGGGGTGAGGACATGGGGGTCAACATAGCCAAGGTGGACGTGACAGAACAACCCGGTAGGCCTGAATGTCCATTCCCAGCTGGAACCTATACAGTGACGCCTATGTTTAATAACGAACAAGAGCTTTCAGGCCACTGCACACATACTGCCCATACTGTGCT